GGCGGTCTAGGTAGGCGCTAGGCGGTCTAGGCGGGCACTAGGCGGCTAGGCTAAGGCTAGGCGGGGTAGGCGGTCTCTAGGTGGTTGCTAGGCGGGCACCAGGGAGCCGCCAGGATCATCAATGGCGAACAAGTTGAAACGCGGGGTGTTGAGGGAAAATAGGAGGGCTTTGTAGCACGCCACCGCCAATTTGGAGACTTGACGAGTGTTACTATCAGCAAGACAACAACAACAAGCCCTGCTCTGAATTTCTCCCACAACTCTTCAGAATTTCATCCAGTTTTGGGATCAGACAATAATTCTTCGGAATTTTACGACGATGATGACAATACGAAGAAGATGGTGGTGGCTGGGAGTGTGGTACAGTTTAAAATATTCTATTTAAATAGTATAGCCGAACGGCTATACTGTTGACACATTCTATTTATAGAGTATAGCCGGACGGCTATACGTTTGGAATATTCTGTTCATATTCGGCTATCCTGTTTTGTACACTCCATTTATAGAGTCCAGCCGCGCGGCTATAATATTAGATATTCTATTTAAGGAGTACTGCCGCACAGCTATACTATTCGGTATTCTATTTATATTGTATAGCCGGTCGGCTATACGTTTAACATATTCTATTCCTTTGTCCATCTGAGAGTTTAGTCCAACCAAATTCTCTCTCTCCCTCTCTCTCTCTCTCAAATTCCAAGAAAATGGCGAAAGGCGAACGCAGGGTGTTGTTGGTATTGGGGGAGTACGTGGAAGACTACGAGGCGATGGTTCCATTTCAAGCACTGCAGGCATATGGAGTGTCCGTTGATGCCGTCTGTCCTGGCAAGAAAGCTGGTGATATCTATCGCACAGCCATTCATCAACTTTCTCCTGCTCACCAGGTCACCCACCTCTGCTTCTTTTGCCTTTTCCTTTTTCTATTTTTAATGAAAATCGTTTTCTTTAGCCTCATTACATCACTTGGCACTGTCAATTGGTCTTTTCCATGCTCTGTAATTAAGCACACTCAATTAGATTGAAGATTGAATGCTTATTTCACTTGAATTTGTAAACCCAAAACAAGAAATTTGTCTCAAATATTGAAGTGCTTAAAATTCTCACATATGGGATTATGTTGCCTCCTCTAAAATTTGGAATCTGTTGGGACTGGAAATTAGTTTGTCAAGTTTACGAACGAACGTCACGGTTTCAAGTTTAGTTTTTTGCATCAGCCAATCTTTGGTAGCCTTAATTATAGACAAAATGAATAAGTTTTATTGTTGATTAGAGCCACTCTATTAGATTGACAAATAGCAACCCGTAGGTTATAGTTCTAGGTTGTGTGGACAGCGAGACTAAAGTAAGCTCAAACAAGAACGCGTGTTGGGAGTTTTGTTAGAGTGCTTGCTCATTCATTATGAGCTAGAGAACCAACCTGTATTGAGCTTGAGTTCTGGGGACAAGACAGCGTGAACAAATTCTTGGCTCCAACGTCACTGCGTACACCATATTCAATAAACAAAATTGCATTAGTGCCCTCGTCTCTAAGTGAAAATAATCTGATAATGGGCTACCTAGGTTCGCTGAATCGTGATCTGTGTTTAATTTACAAATCTTCAAATGCTACATGTCTTTCTGGTCCCCCTTTGTTTTAATATGTTTTTTGGTTTTCTGTATTTTTTTTTCTTTGGTTGCAGACTTATTCTGAATCACGTGGTCACAATTTCGCACTCAATGCAACATTTGATGACATTGAATTTAACAAATATGATGGATTAATAATACCAGGAGGACGGGCACCTGAATATCTTGCTATGGATGCGTTGGTTTTAGAATTGGTGAGAAAGTTTTCTGACTCCTGAAAGCCAATTGCTTCGGTTTGCCATGGGCAACTTGTCCTAGCAGCTGCAGGCTCGGTTAAAGGTAGGAAGTGTACGGCCTTCCCAGCTGTCAGACCTGTACTTGTTGCTGCAGGTGCTTATTGGGTGGAACCCGAGACCTTGTTGGCGTGTGTTGTTGATGGTAATATGATTACTGGGGCTACACATGAAGGCCATCCTGAGTTATTTAGGCTTTTTGTGAAGGCGCTAGGAGGTAACATAACTGGTTCAGACAGGATGGGGTAAGTTTTATTTTCCTTCGTAGTGCAATGAGAAATATGAAATTGTGATGCCGATCAATATTGAGTATATATAGTATTGAGATTTGATCTTTTACAGATACTTCTGAAAGATAGTGAAAATAACCTTAATAGGCTTTACCAGATTTGCCACAATTCTGGTGTGATAAGGTTCCATCATTCATTCCTATGTGTTTTTTCAATGTTTTGGTGGTATGATTCATTGGTCTGCCTACCTGGGTCCGTTGCCCATTGGAATACTTGTTTGTCAGGTCATTTGTGTGAGTTGGGAACTTGTGAAAGTAAATCCAAACATGTATACTGGTCATTTTTCAAGTTGTTTGAATTATGGATTCTAAACATGATACATAGACAAGTACATCCTTTATGAATTTTAAAAGACTTCTTTACTTTAATTTTCCTGAAAGTTGACTACTGAAGAATTTCAATTTCCCCCTTCCCCCAAAACTGAATACCTCCAATACCCAAGCCAATTAGGTCTCCAAATTCGAAATGCTACTACTGCCCTAGACCCATAAATTAGTTGCTGTCAGATTTCATAAAAACCTATTTTCTTGAAACCAGTTGTTTGTTTTCCCTTTAAAACCAGATCCTTTGAAGCATACCTAAACTTCTCTACCTACAATGCCAAAAGTTATACAACTTGACAAACCTTAAAGCCCACCACGTTTTGTAAGCTGGTTATTTAACAGTGATCAGATGGTCCATAAATCAAGATTGGCTACTTGACAAACCTTAAAGCTCACCAAATTCAAAATATTATTTTACTTGTCAATATCAATATTGATAAGCTGGTCCATAAATCAAGTTTGGCTACGTGTTATAGTTCACTAGTAAATCTAGTAAACCCCTTGACAAGAACGTTAAAGCTGCATGTTGTTTGTTTATGAACTAATTGTTATCTACGTATTATTCTAGTCAATGATCAAAATTTTATATTTCTCACTGTTACTAAGCATCATTCACTCTCTCCCTCAACACTCATAGGACTTCATGGAAGATTATGAGGTAATTGTGCCTTTTCAGAATCAATAATATAAAGTTAATTTGTTAGGCACACAAACAAGGACGCAAAATCCTCATTAACAATCCAAAATCATATAACAAAATTGAGATTATAAATTTTGGAATTTTAAAGTCCAAGCATGATATGGTAGATATGGGAGATGCTACAATGAGGGGGATCTGAGTGGGGCGTTTGAGTGAGGGGTTCAATCCAACCATCCAATCATTAAAAAAGTTTTAAGTTCAAAATTTCCTTTATATTATTGGATAGTGGTATTGAACCCCTCACCCACAACCCCTCATTATAGCATTTCCGTGGCAGATATACATTTATAATGTAGATTACATAACTTTTACGCTTTTTAACATCAACTAAAATGCTAGGTAGTCTAGGCAGTCGCTAGGCGGTCTAGGCAGTCGCTAGGTAGTCTAGGCAGGCGGTAGCGCCTAGAAAAAAAAAAGCCATTTTGGAATCTCCAAGGTCAGGGACGAGATGACGATGGTGCTATGAGAGAGAGAGATGAGGATTGACGAAGAGAGGTCGCCAGTTATGTCTGAGCGAGAGAGAGGGGCCAGAAGACAGCTCGTGTTCGAATGAATTTATCTCATAGCATATAGCCGCGCAGCTATATGTTTAGATATTCTATTCATATTGTATAGCCGCCCGGCTATACTTTTAGATATTATATTCATATGATATACTATACTTCTAGATATTATATTCGTATGATATAGCCGCACGGCTATACCTTTAATATATTCTATAGTGTAGCCGTTCGGCTATACTATTTAATAATTATATTTATACACCACATGTCAAAACAAATCTATTTTTTTTTTAAAATTAAAACACCGGGTATAAATACATATAGTGGGATCCCTTTTTTCTTTTAAATTTTTTCCCTGACTTTCGTTTATTGATGAGATTAGTTTACATCATTATCCATTACTATCTGGCTTGAATAATAACCGACCCACGTAGTTAATGACAAAGTATGATATGAAAGGGTCAAGGTTGCAAGAATATTGTGCCTCGTAAATTATGACAAGTTTAGACCAATATGCAAGAAGAGAGAAATTAACTGAAGAAGTAGAGCTCACAAGTATTCTTTTTCTATTTCATTTTTTACCTGTAAAACAAGAGAAATGGCTTCTGAGGCAAAGAGATTTTGAGGACCAAACTCATCCATTTTCTCTGCTTGGTTTTGTGTTTCAAGTGAATTTGTTTATGAAGTCTGAGTACAAACAGAGGAGGTCAAGGAGAGGACATTGGATATGTGTGTCTTCATCTTCACTCCCCTCACTAGTAGATAAAAAGAATATTTCTTTAAAAGATATTCCTAGTTGATGTCAAACAAAGTAGGGCAAATATTCAGTTATACTCAGATACGCTCATATTTTTATTCTTTTCCAATATAGAGGTATTTATACAAGTACAAAGATGTGTTAACCCTAAATAAAATAGGAAATATATCTAAATTACAATAGGAAGTAAATCTCTATCACAATAGGACTAAATAATAATTGGTAAGTAACCAAAATTCTGATGAAATAAGGAACCAAAATCCTAACTAAGTAAGGACTCGCCAACAGTTGAAACCATCTATTTTCTATTTATATATGTGTAGTCTTGTACCACATAAGAAAAAAAAAATACTAAAAAGAATTCTTTAAAAGATGTTCCTAGTTGAAACCATCTATTTTCAATTTGTATATGTATTTGCATATATATGACAACATTCACGTGCCGTTAATTTTTCGAATAGGATTATCTGTTAATCGATCTAATAAGAATTTCTATCGTTATGTGGCCATTTCCAAATAATGCAAAGGATTCCAAAATTATAAAACACTGCTCAAATGCCCAAGAATCATATCCATACTGAATTTGGTTTTATCTCAGCAGCAAGGTGAAGATCATACATGAAATGAAACAAAACATGAAATATCACCACATAAGGTCCAAATATCACCACATAAAACTAACAAGAACAGTAGAATCATTCTCAATACATTGTTAACTGCCTATTTAATTAAGGATGTTCTTCTTTTTTTGTTTCCCAAAAAAAAGACTAATGATATTCCTTTGCACTGTTAAGGGCCAGCTTCTCAATTTCTCTTTCAGGTTGCCTTTTTGATCCAAAGATGAAGTCTTTCACACAACCTTCAGCAGACTCTGTCGCCCTCTTAATCTGCCATCACAACTTTGTGCCATTAGCCTTCGAAACACTTAACGTACATCAAGTATAGAAATTATTCAACAAAACGGATATCTACCAAAAAAACCTATGACAATGGCCAATTACCAATGAAGAAATTGAAAGTTTTCTAAGACAAAGGAAAAAGGAACATGAACACAGAAGAATCTCGGCTCAGCTAAAGGCATCCTGCCTTATAATATAGATGGTGAGACAAAACATGTTTTACGATAAACATTCTAGTCTTGAACTACCTAATAATACCTCAGCACTAATCTTTGCCATAATCTGTTTCAAAGGCCAAGATGCTATCCTTACAGACAGAAGCAACAAATTTTTAAAAAAGACAATCAACAGCACCTCTAGCAGGCAAGGTACTTTGCAATAACGAACTCCTTTCATGTCTGCACCTATTTCTAAATTCTAACTCGGAAAATTTGTCACTATTCCATTGAGCATCATATAGTTCTAGTTTCATGAACACTCCTACAAGCAGTCCACTACACAAACTGGTTCACATTATCATTTTGATAATGAGATATGGCAACAGGAGAGACGTCGTATAACAAAATCAGTTCAAATCACATAACCCAAATTTGGTCCACAACTAGCAACTCAAGTTCAAGCCCAAAATCTAAAGACCCCAAAATTTTGAACTAAAAGCGCAAACAAGAAGAGAAAATTGTAACCCCAAGACTAATTTTCATTTTCTCCCCACCATTTCTTAACAAGATCCAGTAGTAATTTTACAGAAAGAAATCACCTGAAGAACAAAGAACATACAGGGTCGAGAGCATTGGGCTCAAAGCCATAATCAGCTGCCAAAGAGTAAAAGTACAGACTTCGACACTTGTTCAAATTTGAACTTGAGGGTCGAGGTCTTTTAAGAGTCATTATATACTCTAATCGTGCAACAAAAAAGAATCTGTTCAATACAGAGACCAACAGTGCAACAAAAGAATCCATTCAAGTTCTTTTCTCCAAAATAAATAAATAAAGATATCTCGTTCACATCCCTGTGGGCTGGCTTAAAGGAAGCTCCCAATTGTTGGAAACATGACCAACAGACATAGGCTTTGTCATCCTACCTTGGGGTCTACATCTTCCTTCTTGCCTGCTATTCCCTAGTTGGCTTTGTCATCTTGCTTGGGTTCATAATCCTCGCACTCACTGAGTCATAATAATAATAAAAAACCATATATATTAAGGGTACTATAACATACAAAATATAACATAATCCCAACATACAAATTAACATTATTGATTAAAACACAAGATAGTTGAAGGAAACTTACGGTGTGAAGCAGTACATAAGCTCAAACCAACGACAACCCTCCATGTCCAGAGGAAAAACAGTTGAATGTAAGGTCTTTATCATATGTCCCCCTCCTTGAACAACAATTTGAAACATAGTGATACATACATATTGAACCCAGACAATTGATTCGCAAGGGCTAATCTTAATATGAAAAAAGTCCTGGTTTCCCAAATGAATCAAAAACTGTTTCCTTGCGAGACAAAATTCAAATGGCGGTTGTTCAATCTGCAGGCCATGCAATACAAACTGTTTTATCAGTGAGTACTCAATATCACCGCCATCACCTTCAACCATATCAAAGGAGAATGCTACAATCTCCTCCTCCCGAGGCATATTTATGGCATAGATAGACTTGCCTACAACCACAGCCCTTTCTTGGAAAGGAGCATCACAAGAATCAACGTTCACTTTATTCCATTCCTTTCCCATTCTAGTCTCGTGAAAAGCAATGACATCGTAACTGTCGTCGTTACCATACAAGCAAAGAACAAAAACACCATAATAAATAGCATAACCAATTATACGCATACGAGATTCATAGCCATTGTAAAATGGACAATGAGGCATTGGATCCCAAACATCCTGATCAGGATCATACCTCACAAGGGATTGTTTTCTAGATGTTGGAGATGCAAAATAATAAAGCTTTTCATAAGCAGAAACCGCACATCCATCTTGGTCCAAAGCACTGGTCCGAGGAATGGTTTGCTTAAGCAATGACCTAGTCTTTATGTCAAAAATACGTCCCCCCTTTGGGTTATTGGGGTAGGCACGGAAGGGATCCTCCACTAGGAGTAAGTATAAATTGGAGCGGATTCTTGCACTCTTAAGGAAACCATCATCAGAAAACGTGGCTAGAGGTTTATGTACTAGGGTTTTGGCATCTCTTCCGACCATATCTCCTCCTTTGAATTTAATTTCATAAATTGCATTAGTGTACTTTTGATCGTATAAACTCACCACCAGAATCACAGATCTATCTTCCCCCTGATATACTGTCATTGGTGCATGCTCCTCCTCCTCGATCGAGCTGGATAGAGAAGAGAGATATATAGAACAAGCCAAAGCTACGTCATATACTTTAGAAACCATACAGACACAGGAATAAATACAAATAAACCCTAAAAATGCCAGTACTAATAAATAAACTTGTCCTTTTTTGGTAAACTGCAAATAGAAGTGTAGGAGTAGATCATCATTAAATATTAAAGAGTAACTGATTGAAGATAATTTCAATTTCTATAATATATAAAATGATCAGAATTGCAAAAAATAAAAAAATAAAAATTCCGATTCAGAAAATAACATAGTTTGCAATAAAACAGCTCAAATCATCAAGATAGCCGAACAAAAAAACAAGTAGAGATAATTTATCTAGTAGAAGAAGCTGATTATTATTTCAAGCAAGAATCTTTGAATACTCAACAACGAGACAAGAAAATAAAAAACAACTCGAATCAAGAACATCAACAATTTTACAGATTCAGACCAAAAAAAAAAAAAAACAATTTTACAGAGAAAAAAAATTTAAGAACTGACCTTGGGTAAGGATTAACGACCACATCCTCATTTGGAATCGCCGTCGTTTTGGGTCGACTGGGGTTAACAATACTGGCGCGTACTAAGCGAATGTCCTCCATCATTGATGTCATAAAATCGACCACTTTGGTTAGAGATTTCTCCATCACCGATAACTTCAAGTCACGGTCCTGAACATCATGACCCGAGGTGAGCTCAGCGGCGGAAGGTCGAGGTATATTCCGATCCGACCTAGGGTAAGTATTAACGGCCTCATCCTCATTTGGAATCGTCGTTGTTTTGGGTCGACTGGTGTTAGCACTACCGGCACGTAGTAAGCAAAGCTCCTCCGTCATTGATTTCTTGAAATCGACCAAATCGGTTACAATTTCCTCCATCGCCTTTACCTTGTATGCGGCCATCGTCAAGTCATGGTCCTGAACATCATGACCCGAAGTGAGCTCAGGGGCGGAAGGTCGAGATATATTCCGATCCCCCATGATGGATAGGGCCACTGCTAGGACCATCTCCAACCATGTTAGGGCTAAACTCAAATTTTCACCCTCCAAAATACAACTATTCATGTATTTTTAGGACTCAAACTGTTTTTTCCTCCAACCTTGCGGACTCATAATTTGAGTCCGCAACTTTATTAAATTGTTTAAGAATGATTAACGCTTAAATTTTTTTTGTCATTAATTTTTCTTGACATTAATTTTGTTTCAACATTCGTGAATTAATTTTCTAAACATTTTAATCTAAAAAAATTAAAATTCCATGAACATAACATTTTTTTTGGCTTGAAATTAAAATGAGAATGATTGTATAGTTTGAGAGTGGGATCTCATTTAGATAAATTACAAATATTATTTTAACCATTTGATTTTAATTTTGATAATTGGATCTTCTTTTTCTCGTTAAAAATCAAGTTGAAAAAAATATGGGCTGTTTATATCTATTTGAGAAAGCTTGAAAAATGACAAAAAGTTGGTTCCCATTGCTTTACACGTGGCCAGCTTTTAAAGGCTCCAAAAGATTATATAAAGAATTAAAAAAAGAACAAGTAGATGCATAATTGGTTTTCAAAGGGAGCTGTTGGATTCCAACGTCCCTTTGATGCGAGCCTTCCACGTGTCCAGCCAATTTGCCCTGTCTTGTCATTCCTTCACATGCTGCACAAGTTGGCTTCGACTTGGGGCCCACATAAATTCCACCCGGACTGGAAAGTTGGGCCAAATTCCACCCAAGATTTCAGTCTGACCCAAATTACCACCCCTCATTATACATGGTTGGAGAAGGTTTTTGGGGCTATAATCCTAAAATTTGGGTTTGGCCCTCATGGTTGGAGATGGTCTAACAGAATGCTAAATTGAGGCAAAGGGGAATTTAGGGTTTGGGGATGCCGCGGCAGAAGGGAGTTCTATTGTGATATGTATGTTTCGTTGGGTTTCGAACTATTGGAAAATTCTAAGACCATCTCCAACCATGTTGGGGCTAAACTCAAATTTTCATCCTCCAAAATACAACTATTCATGTATTTTCAGGACTCAATTTTTTTTCCTCCAACCTTGTAGACTCATAATTTGAGTCCGCAACTTTATTAAATTGTTTAAGAATGATTAACCCCTAAATTTTGTTTCTTGTTAATTTTTCTTGACATTATTTTTGTTTCAACACTCGTGATTTAATTTTCTAAACATTTTAACCTAAAAAAAATAAAATTCCAAAACATAATTGAATTTCACTTAAAAAATAAAAATAAGTACAATACTATACGTATGCTCGGAATAATTCGAACTCTTCATTGAATTATGTAAGTGTGTTTAAATTATCTAAGCATTTTTAAATAAACGACAATCATTAAATTTTGCCGTTGAGATTGCTTAAAATTAATCATGATTATTGATTACAAATATAGTTGTTGGAATATTTAAAATAAAACCAAAAAAAAAAAAAACAAACCAGCAATATCAGATTTTTGGCACAAAGTTGCTGCCCAAACAGTGTAACCAAAACTGGGCCCAGCAAACATTGTGCAGCACATGGGCTTCAGTCAGAAAAATAATAATAAAAAAAGCGGATTTTGGGCCCACAAAATTATCAGTCCAGGCAAAAATGGGACTGGAATTCCACTCAAGATTTGAGATTTCTCAAATTTCCACCCCCCAAAACACATGGGTTGGAGATGATTTTTGGAGGCTAAACTCAAAATTTGAGTTTCCACCCCAAGGGTTGGAGATGGTCTAAAGGCCGCTAATTTTGCTTTCTACTCAATTTGGATCTATATTTTTTTTTCTTTCATAAAATACTAGCCTAATTCTTTTTTTCTTTTTTTTTTTGGAATAATATCCAAATATATATATATATATATATATATATATATTCGAATACTAACCTAATTCTAGGAACTCAACACAACACAACTTATATTTACCAATGGAGTGTTAATTTGATTGCTCCATGCTTTTGGTGTGCTCTCAAGTAGTATTGGGTTCAAACCCACATGGTACGTGTGTAATAGCCTGAACATAAATTAATATTTAATTATTAATTTATTCAAGTAAAATACAATTTTACCCCAAAATATTTTAATGGTTTAAAAGTTGACTTTTTATTTTGGAAGGAATTTGGAAATTTCGATTGTATCGTTGTGTAGATGACGTCGAGACAAGTCCATAAACACGTAGTGGGCTCAAATCGGAGTTATAATGAGAAAAATGCGATCAAAATACTTATAGGGGCAAAATTGTAATTTTAAGAAACATGTAATCTTATATGAAAACAAACCAACTTTGGCTCATTTTCCAAATATGGCACAAAAATACATATTATCATGGTTTATGTTATTCAATTTTGGCTTTAATGAGGTTATTCAGGGTAAAGAAGGGTGACAGAAGAAGAAGAGAGTGTTTGATGACTTTTTTGTTGCCAGTTTCGGGAAAATTTTGAGGCTGGTAATGGTTTGCTCAAGGTGTGGATATAAGAGGAGTTTTTTTGGGGGTTATAAATTTTAAGGGGTGATGTTTCTGATGTTGGATTATGTGCCCAGTTTGGCATTGATGTGTTGTGAAAATAATCGCTGTTAAATTTGTTGTGAGAGAAATCAGCTGTGAGAGAAAACTATTTGGTGTTTGGTAAATATTTTGTTAAACTTGATGTTGGTACAATAATCAGTTTATATGCCAGAAAATATATGGGGTTATTTTTAGAATTATGAAATTTTCATTAAATTCTAGTGCCTCTCCAAACTGATTGCCGTATAATCAGAAAATAAAAGCAGCTCTATACCAGCTTTCCTTTAAAGCTTTCTCTCACGGCAATTTTTAACAATAAGTGATTTTCTCATGGTTTACCAAACAGGTTCGACTTCCCAAAATTTTTAAAAAATCACTTATCACTCTAAATAATCAATTTTAAACGAGCACTTAGGGGTTGATTCATTTTATGAGTATCTATTTAAGGCCCACATTCTTTTTGGATTATGAGGAGTTCTGGAGAATGTTTCATTCTGCTTACATTGCTGTGCGGAAATGTCATTCTGGGGAAATGTCATTATTCAGGGAGGGGATTTCCCCTTGGTTTTGGTATTCCTGTTAGGGGTGGGGGAGGGGCTTTTTAGGAGGGACTTGGGTGATTGGAAATGGAGACCATCAATTCTTGGGCCATAAATGCTAATGTTGGCGCTATGAGGAACACGAGCGATGCATAAATAAAGAAAAAAAATTAACCAACTCCCTTGAGTTCTATGAAAGATGCATTAGCTCTGTGTCTTTAACTTGTATCAGTCTTGTATAAGTTGACAACAAATTGGTACATCATCGCATAAGTTTGGAAGCCAAATTTGCTGGCATCCGAATAAGCAAGTCACTTGGGCATAACACTTGATAACAACTTAAACAGACCAAACTCTGAATAAAAGTTAATTGGCTTGTGCTATCTCTTCTTGCTGGTGAAGTACGTGAATGTGGTTAACTCAGAGCTCTCCATCGGATCCATTACCATATCCATTTCCCTGATGCGATGCACTGCAGACAGACACAGTAAATAATTCCGGGGTATTATACAAAGGGGAACCCTGCTGGAAAGCATAACCCAAAATAGCTCTGGACTGGAGAAGTAATGCTCTAAGTTCTAATTGGTGGTTTGATTCGCAATGTCACGACTCAGGATTAATCATATTTCTAGAAACTGGTTGAGTTGCTGTAACGAAAAAACTGTTGTGTATCGATCAAGTATCCTTGATACCATGGCCTGATTGGTCTTTGCATGATTGGGGCCAGGGAGGGAAGCAGTAAAAATATGTACTTACTTTCATTGATATTTATATTTTATGATGAATTAACCTTACCTTGTCCTGCTACAGTGTGCACTCAGATCTTGACATAAGACCTTGCTTACATCTCCTCCTCTTACAGATCCTTTCTTTATCAATTCTGCCAACTGCAAGAACAATTTCAAAATAAGAATACAAAAGTATTAACGCTCAATGCAACCATTGATTAGTTGTTTTATTGATAGCAAAAAGTATAAGAGTATTAATTAAGTCACCTCATCTTCTGTTTCCTCAAGTAATCTGTCCCAAATAAATACACCAGTTAGGCTTCTGAATCATGGGAGGCTTAAAAATTGAAACTCCTCATTTTTCATATGAGAAGGACAATCAGTTTAAAGTTTAAAAAATTGAAACTCTAGTAAAAAGAAAGTAGGAAAACAAAGTTAGCATCTTACCTTCCACAATAGGTCGATAAATCCTTTGAATATGCTTTAGCTTCTTGTTTACCTAAAAACGTACACATAGACACACAAAACAAAAGGCATATGATTGTTCAGAATCTTATAATTTCATGAAACAGCTCAAAACATGAAATGAGTGGTCTTAGAATGAATAAGAACTCCCTTTATTGATGTATGGTCTAGATAAACAACTCACAAGAATGAGTGTAATTTTTCTTTCAAAATTTTCTGCATTTTCTGTTATTCTAGGAACTCTCCAGGCAAACTGTTACACTAATAATTATGTTCTCTTTGATTATAAAAGAAAAACAGCACATTAGCCCTTTGCTTAGTGGCTAGATGGCTAGACAAGTAAGTCAGAGAAATCACTTGTTTCATGCAAAATGTCAACCTCAGTTTAAAGAAAAACACCACCTATAGAATATTTTGTGTAGAAATACATACTTATTGTGAGGTTATCCCAGTTATCCACTTTGATCCACTCTTTTCTGTTTGAATCTATCTGCAAAAGAAAACCCGAATGAGATAATTTTCAACAAACTAACTACATAATTTGATAGAAAGAAATCAATTTTAAATACATTAACCTTGTGAAGAGTATAATCCTGCATCTTTTCACAAATTCCATCGAGGAGTTCAACAACTCTGAGCTCACTGACTCTATTGGGTACACATTTGAAGAAGAAGTCACCAACCACTTGTAAAAGAAAGTGAACTAAAAACAACTTATACAACAAGTGATCATATATGGAGTAGTGGTGACTTATATGCTAAAACTTGGTCTGGAT